CAGCCGTGTGCTGCAGCTGCCAAAAAAGCCAACACAGTGCTGGGCTGCATTAACAGAGGGATAGAATCAAGATCACGTGAAGGGTTAATACCACTTTACAAGGCCTTGGTAAGGCCACACTTGGAATACTGCATCCAGTTTTGGTCACCACGATGTAAAAAAGATGTTGAGACTCTAGAAAGAGTACAGAGAAGAGCAACAAAGATGATTAGGGGACTGGAGGCTAAAACATATAAGGGACAGTTGCAGGAATTGGGTATGTCTAGTTTAATGAAGAGAAGGACGAGGGGGGACATGATAGCAGTGTTCCAATATCTCAGGGGTTGCCCCAAAGAAGAGGGAGTCAAGCTATTCTCCAAAGCACCTGAAGGCAGGACAAGAAGCAACAGATGGAAATTAACCAAGGAGAGAAGCAACCTAGAACTAAGGAGAAACTTCCTGACAGTTAGAATAATTAACCAGTGGAACAACCTGCCTCCAGAAGCTGTGAATGCTCTAACACTGGAAGTTTTCAAGAAGAGACTGGACAGCCATTTGTTTGAAATGGGATAGGGTTTCCTGCCTGAGCAGGGGGTTGGACTAGATGACCTCGAAGGTCCCTTCCAACATTATTGTTATTGTTATTATCTACGAGGGAGGCTGGTCCCTTTTCCTCATGGTCAAGAGATGCTTCCTTATATCGAATTTGAGTCTTCCTAGGCTTCAATATACACACAATCACAGTGTCATGCTGGATTTTGTGTAGCTTTTTTTTTAAAAAAAAAAACCTTTCTGCATGCATTTTTTTTTTAAAAAAACCCAATCTATACATCTGGCTGCACAGTGAAACTGTAGCTGTGCAAAAGCTTTTTTTGTTTAAATAAAATACATTTTTCATATCACATTAAACCTTCCTTTCCTGCTACAAGCCAGCAACAGGTGCATATCCCAAGCTTATTTAACACCAACAGATTAGAGATGAAAGAACTGAAGCAGATTTTTCTGCATCTGAAAGGGAATACGAAAACGGACGTAGCAAAACACTGCCACCTCCAGTTACACAGAAGGCACAGTTACAATCTCAACCACACAAGACTCCCCACTATTGAAAAATATAGAAAGCATATAAAACCCAAATGAATTCGGAGGCTGCAAGATGTTGCAAGGTTAATTGAATATCAGTGTGGTCTGGAAGAACAACAGAATCAAATCAAAGAATAGAATAGAATAGAATAGAATAGAATAGAATGGAATGGAATGGAATGGAATAATGGAATAGAATAGAGGAAGGAGGAAGGACTGTTCAGTTTTAATCCAGATAGCTGGAATAGAATAGAATAAAATAGAATATAATAGAATAAAATAGATATTGGAATATAGAACAGAATAGAATAGAATAGAATAGAATAGAATAGAATAGAATAGAATAGAATAGAATAGAATAGATATTGGAATATAGAATAGAATAGATATTAGAATATAGAATAGAATAGAATAGAATAGAATAGAATAGAATAGAATAGAATAGAATAGATATTGGAATATAGAATAGATATTAGAATATAGAATAGAATAGAATAGAATAGAATAGAATAGAATAGATATTGGAATATAGAATAGAATAGAATAGAATAGAATAGAATAGAATAGAATAGAATAGAATAGATATTGGAATATAGAATAGAATAGATATTAGAATATAGAATAGAATAGAATAGAATAGAATAGAATAGATATTGGAATATAGAATAGATATTAGAATATAGAATAGAATAGAATAGAATAGAATAGAATAGATATTGGAATATAGCATAGAATAGAATAGATATTAGAATATAGAATAGAATAGATATTAGAATATAGAATAGAATAGAATAGAATAGAATAGATATTGGAATATAGAATAGAATAGAATAGATATTGGAATATAGAATAGAATAGATATTAGAATATAGAATAGAATAGAATAGAAGAGAATAGAAGAGAAGAGAAATAGAATAAGGTGTCACTTCCAACTTTGAACTCCTGTAGGTTGAGATATATGAACGTGCCCCTCTGCACACACCTCGACAATTTTTTACTGAAGTCTTCAATAAATATCACGGCACCTTGCCATGGATAAAGTGGACATTAAGAACCCAGCGCTGCCCGTCTCAGCACTTTGGGACCGCTGCACTAACTCAGGCACAATTCTGTGTCTAAAAAGTTGGATTTTGTTAGGAAAGTTGGTTAAAATGTGGCTTAAAACCTTGCTCGCTCCTAAATTGAGAGGGATGTGTGTGAAAAAAAATAATCAATGGATCCATCTTTGCACAGCTTGATTTTGATGTTATCCCCACAGATGCGACCGCTGAGCGTTTTTTAACATCTGAATGGGTAATAGAAAAAATAATAATAATCTGACAGCGGTTCGAACTTTCGCACATTTAAAACCAGGCATCC